ACTCCATGTAAAATCCCCCAAGTGTGAAATGACTCCAAAGGGATAACTAAAAGTGGTAAAGAGCTGACCAAATTAATGCCGCGTACCCATGCTATGATACCTAACAAGGAACTATTGAGAAAACAGTTAATACAAATGGACAAAACCTTTCCATACTATGAGACCTTGTTTATGATTGATTTAATATATAATGTTAACCTTCCTCGGAGTGTTTTACAGATGTAAAACCCATTTGAAAGATATCCAAAGAAGCAAAGGCCAGCTATAGCTGTAAGATTCTTGGGAGTTTTATGCTTGGGTAAGATGAAGTCAGAGACTCCCAAACTATACAACTGTTAAGAAAATCTGCAGTACCAGGGTGGGTTGCCCCACTATGAGCTGTTGGTCAGAGAGAGCCTAGAGGTCCTCCTAGAGGTTCACCAAGGCTACTTCCATTAATGTCGGTTTTACACTAGAAAGGTTGGTAATGCCACGTTGCTGAAGACACTGCATGCTGTGAGCACAGGAGAAGAAGAGATGGAACTGAGACTAAGCCAAAACACTCCATGCCACTGGATGGATGATGTTCATATTGCCAGAAGGCGCTATGCAGATGGCTGGGGAAGAAAGGATCCCCTATGATTCTACTGAACAATGGACCCTGCATGCTGCATGCTATGGACATGCCAAGCAATGCCTGCAAGTGCAATAATGGCTCGACCAACATACATACAACTGACAAACTTCTAATTGGATAAGGCCTACTCCTAGGGGTGTGTTAATGAATATAGTACACCTACTGGGATATCTTCTAGACATTTGTATTTACATTCATGTTTGTTTAAATGTGTCTACTTCCTTCCATTTGTCTTTATAGTAGAAGAAACACCACTGAGATAGATCAATGGCCACAGCTTAAAGACAAATAATGGGGAAGCCCAAGAAATCACTATCTCGCTATGATACAAGAGAGATTGCCCTACATCTATCACCCCCTCCAAGGCTCCAAGGCTCCAAGGCACCAAGGCAGGAAAATTGTAAGAGCAGAGGAAAGGGGTGGAGTGTCTCCCAAACTATTTCCTCCAAGGGGCGGGGCCTGCTGCAGAGATTTGACTGGGGCTTTCTGCACCATCTTGTGATGGAAGCTGCGAGCTGCCCTCCAGGAATGCGTGGTGGCAGGTGTGGGGAACGAGCAGCGGTGGACATGGAGAAAAGATGGCCCTGGCGTCTCACCCGCATTGCAAGAAGGGGCATTTACCAACCTGGAGTGGGACTGTGCGCACAAGATGCATGGGTGAAAGTTAACAGAGACCGTGGGAGGGCACGGAAGCGATCTGGAACCGTGTTAGCCTGTTGCGCAGAGCTGGGTGCCAGGCATTAGTCTCTGTAAGTTTCTCCATCCCCCCCCCCCCAAGATATAAACTATAATAAATTCACATAAAATATATGATATGGTTTGTCTGATAATGCAAGAGACTCCAAGAGAACTCTGGCGACAGGGATACAGTGGGGGGGGTATGGGAGGGTGACATTTGGGAAGTGTGTATATAGATGAATAACATTGTTTGGGATGTTCTCTATGATACACACACACACACACACACACACACACACACACACACAAACCAACCAATAAAAAAATGACATATTTGAGGAGAAAGCATAAAAATTTACTTCACGCTAATTAGTAAAGGTGATAAACATTACCATTGAAATCTACCTGATTACTTTATATCCATACTCTGGTGCCAAGGATCCGAGTGTAACTGACTGTGACTAATAATAATCAGATACATAGAGATTAGAGACACATGTGCAAACATCTAAGTGTTAGTAGCATTAAAAATGAGTCTTTCTGTAGGAAACAGTATATTTTAAAATGAAATGGAGATCTTTCTTAAAGGTTAAAAACTCATTCAATTTTATGTCTTACAGGGTTTATACTGAGTTCAATATTGTATAACTGTATTAATTCAACTGTGAACCTAAAAATTTACAGCCACTTTTGAAAGAGATGTATCTTTGCTCTGGAAATTGTTATTGAATATGTTAAAGCTGTAATGAAATGCTTCTTCTAATCATGTGGTTATTAAATAAATAAAAAATGTGCAATAAATAAATAAAAGACCCTTTAGGACTTTTGGCCTTGAAGTACTGAGATCTGAGCCTATATTTTGAGCATGCCAGGCAAGTGCTCTACCACTGAGGTACATGCCCAGCCCTGTCCAGGGCTTGCAATGTTCAGTTTAGTAAAAGGAATACTTTTTTTTTTAAACGTGTATGTGTGTATTGCCTGCATGTAGATAAGTGCACCCGAGTCGTGCAATGCCTGCGGAGGACAGAAGAGGCTGTCGGATCCCCTGGAACTGGAGTTACGGACAGTTGTTAGCTGCCATGTGGGTGCTGGGATTCGAACCTGGGTCTTCTGCAAGAACAGCCAGTGTTCTTAACCTCTGAACCGTCTCTCCAGCCCATAAAAGGAATACTTTTACAGCACTGAATTTTACTGTCCAAGAGCCTGATATGTTCTTCTGTCTGATCTTTTAGCAGCTCAGCAAAGCCATTATCATTTTATGGAAAAAATCTTGCCTAACTGTGGTCAAGTTTATTAGCTGGTATTTTCACATTTTGCTTCATTTTTGAAAAGGATCTTTTTTGTCACATTTTCTATACTGTGTTGTCCATATCAAGAATGCGTTTGATTCTTTTGTGTTATATACAATCATCTTACTAAACTGCTTTTTTGTTTGTTTTTTGAGACGAGGTGGGGGGGGTCTCCCTGTAGTAGTCCCAGCTGACCTGAAACTCGATAAGTAGACCAGGCTGACCGCAATTTCACAGAGATCCAACTGCTTCTGCTGCCCGACTACTGGGATTAAAGGCATTTGCCATCACACTTGGCTTCTATTACTAAACTTTTAAAACATTATAGTAATGGTTTTCATTTGACTCACATTGATTTCTAATTAAATAGGTCATGGCATTCACGCATGAGTTTTCAGGGGTGTTTTTAAAAAGACGTTTTTGAAAAAATTTGTGTGTATGTGTACGCATGCCTAGCATCTCTGTAGCGGTCAGAGAGCAACAAGTGGAAGTTCATTCTTTCCTTCCCCAATGCAGGTCCTGGGGCTTGAACTCAGGTCATCAGGCTTGGTGGCAAGTGCCTTCACTTGCTGAGCCATCTTGCTGGCCTTCTGTGGTGGTTTTAAATGGTGAATCATGTAAAGGCGACATGAAGTCCAGAGGTAGGAGTGACACTAAAGTGGTAAGGCCTGGGGAGGGCTGAGAGAAGAGGGCAGGGAAAGCTCTGGGAGGGCCTGCTCAGGCAGCCAAAGCCCGTACCACAGACCGAGTGGCTTAAACAACAGAACCTAGGTTTTCACAGTTCTGGAGCAGTCTGAAATCCTGGGGCCACCTTGGCTAATGGATGACAGTCTTCTCTCCGCCTCACAAGGTCTTCAATTGGGTCTGTGTCTTAATCTCTTCTCTTAATGATACTCTCATTTGGATTAGGGCCATACTAGTGACCTCATTCTAACTTAATCACCTCCTTAATGCCATCCCTGAGTATAGTCCCACTCAGAGGTCAGGACTTCACACATGAATTTTAGAGGCGATCACGCAGCCAGTTCTGGCAGGTGGAAGAGCACCAGAGCATCTTGAGCTTAGAATAGTGTGACTAGATCTATGTTTTTAAAGATTGCACTGGTCTCAGTGAAGGGACAGGATGGGAGGTGGGATTTCAGGATAAAGGTGTCAAACACTGGGTCTTCCTCATGCCCAGTGGAGGGGCCAGGCCAGGGCAGAGACTTGGCTCAATTCAGGCCTAGGCTTGGGTATTCAATCTTCCTGGGGCTCCTCTGTCCCATGTGACTGATACAGAGCCCTAGCACCTTGCACACAGAAGGGAAGAAAGGTGGTGTTAAGAAGGGGAAGGAAGCACTTTGCCTGAACTACTACATTCTGCCTGAGGCTTCAGGGGAAGGAGAAGACATGGTCCAGCCTTTCCAGCTCCAGAGAAAGAAACGTCTAGAATTCCCTCTTTAGTGAGCTGTGGTAGAGAAAAAAATCCACTTACTGAAGGGGACAGCACTCCAAGGTTTGGCCAGCAAATGGCTGTGCGAGTTCAAGGGACCTGCGAGGAGACAGCTGTAGGGCCTGGTTTCTCCAACAGTTACCTCATGCTGAAGGAAGGATGGCCTTGGCTGTTTTTTATATTAGTTGCCTTCTATTAACCAAATAAAATGGTTTATTTTTTAATAGGCAACCTGGACACAGAAAGAAACTAGGGTTCCTGGTTAGCCTGGAGAATATACAAGGCTGACCAAGCTTACCCCATTCACCTGCTTGGTCCACGCAATGTCAGGTTGATGACTGTTAGAGGGTCTCACACTCAAGGCACTGGGTCTCCTCCCTGGCCATGAGGTCATATCCCTGCCCTCATTCCTGACACCAGCACCACCAGGAAGAAGCTGCCTTTATTCTCTTCTCCCGGGGTGTTTGGAACCCACACATGCATTCTACAAGCTAGGGGTGTCACCCAGATAGGGTCCATGAACAAGGGATAGCATACATAAACATGTGGTCATGCAGGAAAGTGGGATGAAAATCCCAGCCCCCTCCCACCCTGAAAAGCCACTCACCTAGCACTCTCTGGGGCCCCCATGGGGTGAGTCCCTGCTTCCTGGTTGTGAAGGCATGGTGGATAAAGCACACGTGCACACACACACATACCCCAGATGCAGCCACTTTGATACACAGCTACATTGTAAACCCCTTAAGTCCTTTTTAGATTATACTTCTTAGAACCCAAAATCAGCTGGTTTGGAGTCTGAAGGAAGTACATGTAGCATGGGCAGAAAACTCATTTTTCCTTCCCGGCTGCCCTGTATTAGGCCAGACCTGAACTTTCAGCCAGATCTGGGAACTGAAGCCCAGTTGTCTTTTCCCCATGTGCCTCCATCTCATGAATCCAGGGAGGTAGGCGCTGGGGGGTCTGGAGCACATGAGTAAGTGGGTACCTGGCATACATTGTAGTGTTCAAAGAGAGATAGGAGGCCAACGTCACTTTGTGCCTCAATGCCTCGGAGGAGTGTAATGTTCCCATCCCCTGAGTCCAGTTCCACCACATCGTTGAAAACATTGGACACGGCTTTCCCAGTAAGGAGCAGATTGACAAGTTCCTGTTGATGAGAAAGAGGGAAGCCGCGTCAGATTTCTGAATCAGGCTTGGAAGGGTGAAGCGGAGGCTGGGAACAAGGGAAAATGGGTGGAGGAGGAAAGAAAGCAAGGAAGGAGCCAGACAGAAGGCAGAGTTGAGACAGGAGGGATTCGATTTTCCCACAGGCTCTGTGGGGAATCTGCCAACGGTTCCCATCACAGCAATCGAGGGACTCAGCAGTCTGTACACACCACAGCACAGACTGTACACAGGAGCCTGTCCTATGTCCTAGTATGGGAGGGATCTTTGGGTGGATACAGCATAGTGCTATGCTTGGGGCCATCCTGGGGAGGGGGCTGTCAAGGATGTGCCTCTGTGGTTCAAACCCAACACAGGATATGAGTGGGGCTATAAAAATGTATGAACAGAGTGCTCCCTGGCCCACATGGACTTACAGCCACATAACCAAGTGAGAGTAGCTTTGTTGAGGAGTGACCTTGAGGTGAGTCTTGAAAGACAGTGTTTTTAAATAAGCTTTTTAAAGTCTGAAATGTCTTTAAGCACAATGGAAGTTGCAAAAATAGTCCAGAGAGTTCCTGTGTACCTTTCACCCAGGTTCTCCCGATTATAACATCTTAGAGGACTCAGTACATCTCACAGACAATCTCGCACACTGTAGCACTGAGGCGTACTCCTAGTAGGGTCACACAGGGATGGCAAGGACAGCAGGTGAGGGAAAGAGGAGCAGAGACAGAGAGGGCAGCGAGAAGACACTGTTGATCTTGCCTGGGATGTTAGGTATCCAGCACGCTGCCAGGCAGCAAATGTGTAACTAGGAGCAGTGTCAAGTGTGGCATGCACCTCTGGCAGGCTCCAGCTCATGACAGCTGTGCTGCATTGGATCACTGAGGCGAGAAGGGCCCTAGAGTATGTGAGACACTCCTGGGTCCCATCTCTGGTTAGGAATGGAGAAACTGAGCCTGACAGATGAGAAAGGACTTGCCCTGGCCACACAGGCAGAAAGTGTCAGAGCCAAATGTTCACCCACATCTGCTGGGTCTAGACATCTGCTCCACCCTGCATTACCCTGATGGCAACTGTGCCTAGACAAAGATTCAAGTTGAAAGGTAGTGGCCTCCAAAGACCAGCCTGGGAAGGATTCTGGTGAACCCAGCCTTAGTATTCAGGTAAGCAGCCCTAGCAGGGGTGATGATGCTGGTGAGACAAGCCGGCAGGCAGCTGTCTCCCAGTCCATGGGAATGGCCGTGCCACCCCTAACCCAGCCTACGTGCTGCAGGCCAGAGTTCACAAAAGTATTTTCCCTTGAATTGTGAAAACAACGTCCGGGGTTAATAAACCCTCCATTGACACCAGCACCCCTGCCCCAGTGACAGTTAAAGAGGCCTCACTGAAGGCCACCAAGGGGCCCCTATTGGAAGGAGACACTGAGGGGCCTCATTGTGTCCTTGCAGAGGAAATGCGAAAAGAATTTGGAGGAAATATCTGCTCTAAGATACTGTACCTCAGGGGCAGAGGCTACTAAGAAAAGTACAGTCGTTTTCTTAGGCAGGAAGATTTTCCATCTGGTTTTCAAGAAGAAAGAAAGCCCTTGCTCTTCCACCTGGATGTGTTCAGAACATTCCTTCCAGCAGGAAGTCTTGCCATAGGGAAAGGGGGTCCACACTCCTCCTGCCCTTCAGTATAAAAATCTCACAGTAGCAAAGCTTAGCCATTGTCCAGTCAATTGCTACTCAAAGTAATGGGCTTTTCAAACAGATCAGCAACACCTCCCCACTGGGGGAGCCTAGTAGAAGTTTAGTCTCAGAGAGGAGTAGTGATAGATACATGTAATCCCAGCACTAGGGAGGCTGAGGCTGGAAGAGCTGAAGATGGAGGTCAATATATAGAAAGACCTATCTCAAAAAACCAAAAGAACAAAAATAAAATGAAGAGGAAATATTCCTCAGCCCCGGCCCCAGCCCCAGACCTACCCCTGAGACTGAATCAACTCTTCAACATGATCCCCTAGGATTGGTGTGCAAATCAAAGCAAAGCAGCCGTGATCTGCTTTGTCTCTTCCACAAATGAGGAAACTAAAGCTTGGAAAGGGAAGCAGCAGCCTCAGATCCCTGTGAGTGCAGCAAAACCAGACTTGAACCTAGAAAAGGATGATGCTGGCCTGGTCTCTGCCCCCCACCTGATTCTCCCACAACACCCTTGGGCAGCACCTCTCTCTTCCACAAAGAGAAGCTCCACAGGGGAGACAGGTACTCAGAGGAGGGCAGGGCCACCAGGCAGCCAGGAAAGTAGCCATTTTTCCCTGGCTTTCTTCCAGGAAGAGGGTGGTAGCCAAGCCCCTACCCCTCTGCGGGTATCTGACACACCACAGACCTCAAATTGACCCTGCATGGGGCCCAATTAGGTTTCCAGAACTGGACATCAATGAGTCAAAACCTTAGAAAAACTGGTCCTAGCTGGGCCAGAAGACTGTAAGTTCTGTCCCCTGAATGAACAAAGAGAGGGCTAGATGTCACAGTGGCCCACATGGCCACTCTCAGAAGCCTTGGTATACAAGGAAAGGTGTGGATGGAAGTTCCCTGTCTGGATGTTCACTAGGGTGGATTTGAGCAGGTCTCTGCTGGCATCACCTGACAGGAACATTAATGACAGGCAAGGTCAGGGTCTCTTCTGCCCGAAACAAGACCTCTTTGTAAAGATGCAGAGGGAAGAGCAGTTGTAAAGACAACACCCTCTGTAGGTGTGGTGGTGCACAACTGCTATACTGGTCACCAGCCATGCTGGGCCCACTCCCTATAGCCTGGGCTCCGTGCATATAGCACTTGGATCTGCATTCATATCCTCTGCATCCTCGTGGCTCCAGAAACAGTCAGTGCACAGGAAGCACACCAGGAGTGAAAGCTAAACTGAGCTTTCTTTCTAGGTCTCCATGAGGATGACAGTGAAGCCCAGAGGAAGTGGGCACATGGAAGCTGCCTGGAGGGTGTTCAAAGGGACAAAGAATGAAGGAAGTGACCCACAAAGGTGAAGAACCATGATTTCCCAACTGTGAGCTCCATAGCATCTCCTGACCTGTGTGCAGTATCCATGCGCTCCAATAAGATGGCCAGTAGGGACATCGAAGTCTTGGCGGACACTAGAAAACACACAGAAGGAATGGTATTAGCATGCCTGGGCCTCGCTGGTAGCACGGATCTCCTCTCCAGGCCTGGACTAAGGATCCCAGATTTGCTGATAGCCTGAGCATTCTGTGCTCTGAGCTCTCTGTGGAGAAGGCTCCCACACCAAAGGAACCACTGTGTTTCTTGGATAATGTCCTCCATTTTGGCTTCACCAGGCCTCTAGCCACATCAGAACCTGGTGAATGAAATGTGGCAGGCCTTTGGCCTGGGTATCTAATGTCCTAAAATTCACACCACAACTACCACTACTAATATAGTAAGGATGGATTTTTTTTTTTTTTTTTTTTTTTGAGACAGGGGCTACTGTCCTAGAACTCACTATGTAGACCAGGCTGGTCCTGAACTCACAGACATCAGCCTGCCTCTGCCTCCCAAGTGTAGGGATTAAAGGTGTGTGCCACCACGCCAGGCAAGGATGGGGTATTTTTTCCCATCTCTGGGCCTCAGTCTGCCAGTTGTTAAAGGGGAGGAATACACTGGAATGGACTCTAATGGTTCTAAATATGTCTGAGTATGTCTCTCAAGTTATCTGTGCTGAAATACAATTCTCATTGTAAGGGATTTTAAGAGCTCTCTTCAGAGGACCCAGGTTCAAATCCCAGCACCCACATTGTGGCTAACAACCATCTGTAACTCCAGTTCCAGGAGATTTGATTTCCTCTTCTGATCTCTGCAGGTATTGCACGACACATGTGCATTGACATACACGCAGGCAATACACTCATACACATAAAATAAAAATATTTTTTTTAAAAAGGTAGGTGGGAGCTCAGCGGTTGAGGGCATTGACTGCTCTTGAAGAGGACCTGGGTTCAATTCCCAGCAAGCACATGGCGGCTGCGAACCACCCTTAACTCCAGTTCCAAGGGAATCCGACGCCTTCTTCTGACCTCCATGGCATTGCACGACATGGGTGCACTCACATACATACAAGCAATACACTCAGACACATAAAATAAAAATAATATTTTTTTAAAAGATAGGTGTGAGTCTATGTGTGCATGTGTGTGTACATGTGTGTACATACTTGATCACATGTATGCACACATGTACCACAGGAAGTCAGAGGACAACTTTCTGGAGTTGGTTCTCTCCTTCCTCCATGTGGGCTCCCGGGATCAAACTCTGGCCATCAGGCTTGGTGTCAAGCATTCTTGCCAACTAAACCAACTCACTGGCCCCCACTTACCTTAATTTTTGAGTATTTCGCACATTTGTACAATTAAATATGATCCTCTACCACCCATTTTCCCCACTAACTTCCCATCATACCCCTCCAACTACATGTCCCTTTTTGATAACCCACTAAGTCCAGTCAGTGCTGCCATATATACATGGGTGGCCCCACCTTATTTTTTGAGACAAGGTCTCTCACTAAACCTGGGGTTCAGCAATTCAGCCAGACTAGCTGGCAAGTGAGCGCCAGGAAGCCTCCTGTCCCCACTCCTCAGTACTGGAATTAAGGACTCACGCAGCTATGCCTGGCTTTCTTATGAGTGCTAGGGATCTGAACCCAAGTCCTCAGGTTGGCAAGCACTTTACTGATGGAGCCATCTCCCCAGCCCAAGAGGGTAAGCTCTTAATCCAATGGTGGTGTTCCGAGTTGAGGCCTTGGGGGTAGTGATTAGGATTGGGCAGGATCATCAGGATGGCACCCTATGATTGAGTCGGGGTTGGGGACGGAGAAAAGAAAAGAGAGGGGAAGGAGGAAGGAGGCAGACATGCACTTCTTTTCTCTTGTCATGAGAAACCTCCTTAGGATTCTGTCAGCGAAAAGGGCATTACTAGACTCAGGCCCTTGACCTTAAACCTCCAGAATCAAAAGTCAAAATAAACCTCTCAGTTAAAACTTGTCCAGTCTGCAGTATACTATTATTGGCATCAGAAATTAGTCTGACACAGCCTCCTTAAGGCCTAACAACTGCAGCCATCTGAGGAGAATTCTTGCCCCAGGAACCACACTCCCAACATTCCCTGAAACACTGGGAGAAGACCCTGACTCAAAGAAGTGACTAGCTTCCAAGGTGCTCTGCTCATGAGTAAGGGGGTGGGGGAAACCCTGGCAGCCAGTCTTTAAAGACTGGGTACACCCCCTCACATTACCACTATGGCTCCATCCTTGGGAAGAGACTTCAAATAGCATAGGGTAAAGAACCCCTTTACCAAAAGAAATTCTTCAAACTAGACATGGGTTTCTGGCCTGAGAAGTTTTGGGGACAGGATACCCAAGTTGGCAGGGGTCTGTCACCAGTGAAGAGTGAGAGCTGGACATTAGGAGGCAAGCCTCCACCCCAGAATCTTAAAGCCATCCTACAAGTCACTACTATTAAGACACTGATCCTTTAAGGAATCCTGAAATAAATCTCTCTAAAGGCAAAAGTACTTTGTGACCATGAGCCATCTGTCAACAAACAGGAAAGTCTACTCACCACATGCAGCAGGTGGCCCCCAGGGAGTGGGACTTCATATCTCTATTTTATAGATGTGGAAAGAAGCCCAGAGAGGTGGGCACAGGTTAGGCCAAGAGTCTGGCTCCCAGGCTCTGGTGGGCACATTGCCCACCTAGCACCATGCCCAGGGCCTGGTCTGCTTCCTAAATCTGTACCCCAGAAAGAACACTGAGCTGCAGGCAAGGGTAGAAAGGGTTTGGTGACTGAATAATTATTTTTCCCTTTTGGTGGAAGAGAAGAAAAACCAGGACTCAATTTATGCTTTAAGTCCAAGGTCCCCTCACCCCCCCAAAATCCAAAATACACACTCTAGTCCGGCACTCTTCCCAGACAACTTTTGTAACTCAAGTTCCACTGTCCTTGCTGGGAAACCACTTTTTTGAGGTTTTAAACTGAGAGTCAAATGGGGAAACGGTCCTCATGAGATGGGCTGTGAGTGGTCCTGTCGAGGCCTAGAGAGAACCACAGAGGCCCAGGGTCCTCTGGGACCTGTAGGGCTTGACCACAGAGACAGACCAGCAGGCCTGGGAGGGAGCCAGCAGAGTGACTCATGGCCAGCACAGTGCAGGGTTGGCGCTAGCTGAGGCTGAAGAATTGATGGAAACGTTCTCTGTGGCATATACAACATCTTCTGATGAGAAGAAAATAACCTCAAAGCAGTCCTGAGGGGGCTGATAAGTATCGCTGGCCGCTGGCCACCTGTGGCTTTCAGAGCAGTCTGATCTTCATAAGCTCGCAGCCGCGTGTTCACCCAGCAGGCTTGAGAGCCTGCGTCAGCTGGGAGCAGAGGGACAAGCAGGGCAGACAATGGGAGGAAATGGTAATTGCATCCTTAGGTGCAAACATGATGGGAAATTCAGAAGTGTGCTTAGATCTTAAAAGGGAGGGACATGTGTATTTCACATCAGGGCACTTGGGAGATGCCAAGGAGCAGCTTATGGCTTAAGAGATTTACAACTTCAGCAAATGGAGATGCCCAGTCCTCGCCTGGGGAATTCCCGAAGGGCCGAGTGTGAGGAGTCCTGGAGCAGAGAAGTCCAGCCTCTGCTCTGGCAGGATGTGGGTCAGCTTACATGCAGACCTGTCCCAGACTCGAGTTCTAGCCCTGCTATCTCAAGCCTTTGAGCCTTAGCCTCCCATTCTGGAGCAAAAGAGTCTTGGGCTAAATTTGGTCCCCCCAGGTTTATATATTGATTCCAGCCTGGAGAAGCAGTCCTGTCTGTAATCCCAACTACTCAGGAGGCCAGGCAGGAAGACTGAGTGTTCAAGAGCAGTCAAACACTAGAGAAACTGTTTCAAAATTTATAAAGAGAAGACTGATACAGATCACTCAACATTATAAGAAACAAAATGCTTAAAACACAGGCGTGACTGGGCGTGGTGGCACATGCCTTTAATCCAGGCAGATCTCTGTGAGTTCAAGGCCAGCCTGGTCTACATAGTGAGTTCCAGGACAGCTGAGGCTACAGGGAGACCTTGTCTCAAAAAGACTGAAAAAAAAAAAGAAAAAAAAGTCGGGGATAGAGCTCAGTGCTGGAGCATTTACCTAGCATGTGTGAAGACCAAGGCTCAATCCCTAGCACCATTTTTTCTTTTTTTTTTAAAATCAAAGCATATATTGAAGACCTCACCAACCCCCAGCATCTCAGGATGTAGATTTAGAGAGAACAGGAGCCTTTAAATGGGTGCTTACATGAAAAGGAAGCCAATAGGGTGGGGCTTTAGCCATCTGACTGGTACCCCTACAAGGAGAGGAAATTTGGACACCTAAAGGACACAGGAACTCACACAGAGGAAAAGCCACATTAGAACTGTCAGGTGGCCTCTTCGAGTCCAGGAAGGAGGCCTTGGGGAGTAGACTCTGTGGGCACCTTGGTCTTGGACTTCTAGCATCCAGAGGTGTAACAGGAGTTTCTGGGTTCAAGTCTGTCAGGCTTTGTTAACACAGGCCTGGGACTCCAGGACAAGTAGATTCTAGTGTAACTGTAGCCTCAGGGCTCTTTTGTTCAATAAAATCTTACTTGAAGAAGCCCATTTTACAGGTCCTAAGGGCGGGGCTGCTCTGATAAAGGCAAAGATGAGCTTGCCCCCTAATTCCCACATGGCTCCTGAACTACAGAAACCAGGAGGCCAGGGTCTACCTGATCATGTCCTAGAAGCTGCCCTGTGTGCAGGTACCTCCAGAAGACAGCTTGCTATATTCCAGAGCAATAAGCACAGAGTGGGAGATACCTAAGTGAACTTGGCCAGAGCAGGAGGGATTTGACCCCTCAGCACCTGAGAGTGAGCAAAGGGCCAGGACCCTGGACCACAGGTTTCTAGATCACCCAGTGACAAGAGAGTAGCCACAGAGAGCCCTACTCAGGAGGCCCCTGAGTCACTGTGCTGTGCCAGGGAATAGAAGAAGGCAATGTCACGGCTGGGGGGCCTTAAGTGTTTGGCAGACGGAAGGTACAGGCCCAGAGAGAAGACTGGTCTAAACTTATGACACAGACCACCCCAGA